CCATCTCGAAAGCAGTCCGGCATAAAGCTCGGGGGCTAGTGGCTGGCTCCATAGAGGGCATTTCCGGCATTAAGCTCGGCTAAACTCCTTCAACTTTTTTGTACCAAGATGATCTATGACATCTTGGATATAGTCCGGCGTTGGAGCTTGGACACAGTCCGGCGTTGGAGCTCGGATACATTTTGGCGTTGGACCTCGGAAGCAGTCCAGCATTGGTGCTCGGCTGTAAAAGATACCTCGAATGCAGTCCGACTGTAAAATAACAAGGCATTGATAAAGGCCGGAAACTTAAAGGGGCTCCTCGGATACCCGACGTATAAACTTGTCGAATGCATTTCGGCGATCCTCAAGATCGAAGATGAGAAGATTTGTTGAACCAGTTTTCAAGACCGACAACTGAAGATGAAGAATAGTTCGGAAGAATCGAGGAGCGTCTCTAACTTGAAGACCGGTTCAAGGGGCTACTGACGGTGTCCTGGACTAGGGGGTACTCACCACGTCATCTCCCGATCTGTTAGATTGGGTCAAGGACCCCCATGGTCGTATACTCATGGGCCAGTTCGGACAGCTGCCGCATACATGGAAGATTCCACAAGACTTGGTGATCAAGGCAAGGACTCCTCCCCACCGGTGTATTCGCCTAGGACTCTTGTTATCCTAGGCCTCTGGTGCATTATATAAACCGGGGCCAGGCTAGTCGATAGACAATATACAGACAATCATACCATAGGCTAGCTTCTAGGGTTTAGCCTCTCCGATCTCGTGGTAGATCAACTCTTGTAATACTCATATCATCAATATCAATCAAGCAGGACGTAGGGTATTACCTCCATCAAGAGGGCCCGAACCTGGGTAAACATCGTGTCCCCCGCCTCCTGTTACCATCGATCCTAGACGCACAGTTCGGGACCCCCTACTCGAGATCCGCCGGTTTTGACACCGACAGACACCATTCACGGGCACCATGCCGTCCCCCACGTCTTATTTGACGGAATGCCAACACCAATGCCACCGGTCAACGACCCCTTCTACAACCAGTTCATGGAGGATGTGATCTACGAGGGTGGGCAGGGCCGTGCCTATGACCCCGACGAGACCCAAAGTTAGGATGGCCGCGCCCAGTACGTTCCCGATGAAGAGGCCGACGACCGTGCTGACTACGACCATGGTGAATTGTGGCATGAAGACGATGACATCTATTGCGAAGGTGATGGTGATGAAGAAGAAAGCAATGACATTGATATTGGTGGCTAGCCATTGTTCATCAACGAGCTCACCCAAAGAGCGGAAGCACAAAAGAGGAGGAAGAGCATTCACACAGGTTCATATACACAAGATGAGGAAAAGTTGATTTGCCAATGTTGGATGGAGATTAGCCAAGATCCCAAAACCGGCGCGCAACAAAAGGGCCTTGTTTTTTGGACGAGAGTCCACAAAACATTCCATGAAAGGAATATGTTTGAGCCCTACCAAATGACAAGCAACCGTGGCATCACCTCGATTCAAAAGAGGTGGTTGTTCATCCAACAAGAGTGTAACAAGTATTGCTTCGCATTTGAGAGCATTGAAGCACGACCCGTGAGTGGTCTCGGCGTTGGGGACATGGTATGCTCTCCTTATCCTAGTCCTTTTCCTTGCTACGTCCATGTGAGACTTCGGCCTTGTATATGTTTGCATGTTCAATTGTTGTTGATCATGTGGTGTAGGCATTTCAATCTTTGGAAGCATTCAAGGCCCGGCATAATGACAAGCCATTCACTCTTACGCATTGTTGGACGATCATCAACAATTGCCCTAAGTTCAAGGATCAATACCGTGAACTTCAAAGAAAGAGAGGCAAGAAGACGACCAAGTTCGCCGGAGGTGGAGATGACGAGGCGTTGAAGAGGCCGAGGGGCAAGACCAACTTCAAGGTGGACGACATACGTGATGCCTCATCCATGGCCTTGCATGACACTTTGCATGGCATGGTGTCTCAAAAGGATATGAGGGACGAGAAGAAGCGGCAAAGCAAGGACGAGCAAATGAAGCAATACCTAGACCTTCAAAGGAAAAAGCTTGAGATGGAGGAGGCGGCCAAGAGGAGGAAGATCGACATGGAGGAGGCGTCCCGGCAAAGGCAGCTCGACATCGAGGCCGCCAATGTCTCAGCCAGGCAGAGGCAGCTCGACATTGAGGCCACCAATGCCGCAACCAAAGCAAAGGAGGTGGTCCTTGCGATCATGAGCGTGGACTTGTCCAAGATGAGCGAGAAGACGAGGGCCTGGTTCGAGGCCAGGCAGAAGGAGATGTTCAACGCCAACGGCCTGAACTAGGTTGTCCAATCGACCGTGGCCGTTTTTTTTGGAGGCTGGCATGGGTGCCACCCGCCCGTTGGGCTGCTGGCTGTGTGCCGGCGAGTAAAACATTCATTTTGGAGGCCGGCTGTGTTGCCGGCGATGGACGTGTATACCGCTGGCCTGATGAACTAGGGCTTGGCATTTGAAACGTTGCTCTCTTTTTAAAATGGAGGCGGACAAAATGGGGCAAACGGATGCGGCCGCGCGCTGGGTGCACGGCCACCGCATCCCAGGACATGCCTGAAGACGATCTCATTGTCCTATCCAAACAGATAGAATCCGAACAAAACGGACGTCCGTTTGGGGTCGCGCGGTTGAGTTGGCCTTAGTACCTATATTTTGTATTTAGTTGCAATAAGTTGTTTAGGGTGCTCTCTTGTATTGTTCGGTCGTTGTCGTTTGCTGCTGTTTGCTGTCATGTTGGCCTGATGTAATCTTTGTTGGTTTCGTTAATTCAAAATCGGATGCTTTTTAAACCTTTTTTTCCCTCTAAAAATCGGTGTCCGGTATTGGACCGAGTGGATTTGTCATCTAGACGACCGACGACAGCGGCAACAAGGTGTGACGCCCATGAAACGTCCGGGGACGGACTCGTCGGCGGGGGCGGGGGCGGGGGCGGAGGCCGAGGTGGAGGAGAGTAAGGAGCGACGTGCACCACCGCAACTTTAAATTAGTTGATCCGTTTTGTCAGCCTCGGCGCTCGTACCGTACGTGTTAGGTGCCTCTGCCTCGTTGGTTTCCTGCCGCCCAGCCATGCGTTGCACACATATTTCTTGACAGCACGCTTTCAGAGTCAGACAGAGGTGTTGAGTCCATCTCAGTGCTACAGTTTCTTGATATCTCGGTAGCACCAATTTTTTCCTTGGAGCGCACTGCACCGCTGTTACGATCTTTGCAAGATGCGGGGCCAGATGATCCAGCAATTAGGCACAAAAAACAGCCGGGAAATTGTACTGTCACTGCATTGTTTATGATGAGTACCAGTGCCTAGCATTGCTCATACACACGATACACATGTGTTAGGCAGGCTCTCGACAGTTGCCACTGAACACCTAAAACGTCCTGCGCCGAGCATCGATCATGCTGGCGCCGACTTGTTTAATCGGTCTCTCTCAGGGACATCGATACAAGACAGATAGGATTAACCTGACGGACAAACTGTATTATATCATACTGTATTAATAATCATAAGCAAAGCAAAGCGGAGAAGGAGGAGGGAACGGACCACATGCATGCATGCGCGAGTGAGTGAGTGTTTAGGCGCATATATTCGTCTGCTTTCCCTTGTCGTTGACAAATATCATTGCTTCCATTATACTACAAAAAATACTACTAACCCACACCACCGATTTCTTTCCGTCTCCTTTTGAGATGCTCACACCACACCACACCACGCCGCACCGCCACTGATTGATTTGATTGCTGGTACGTACGCAGCGCTAGTGGTGGCCGGTGGTATTATTGACGCCGGGAGAGAGCTAATAACTAAAATTCAGATTCAGACCCAACAGCAATATCAACCGAAACGACGGAGCCTATCATTAGCCTACGCGCCATGATCGATTGATTAATCACGGGAAAAAAGAAACTTATACATCACATATATAATTACACGCACAAACATCTCTGGGGTCTTTGTCATGGAGCGCATTGCTCTTACCGAGCATGACAAATGGTTGGTCGATTTGCCAAGAGTTTTGAAAAATGCAGAAAAGGATTTCAGGTGAGGGCACTCACCCCTATGAGCGCACACACGCACACCCTATCCTTATTAGGACCTTCGAAAGACTGAGCCGGTATATCATCTTGAAATTTACAAAGTCACTGTAGACACTTCGTCGTCGACGGGAACGTAACCTAGTGGGATGGGGATATCACAATCCCTCTAACCATCTAAACCACAGGTTGGTTCGCGAGGGCACGGGCTGATACAATTAATTATCAATACCAACCGAAAGTTATGGGTTAACAGTGTTGCTTGGAGTAATACTACGTTTCTTGCGAGTACACTTTCTATCATAAATTTCCTGACGAATTTGTTGCGAGCAGTACTGATTAACCCATGTTACTCTTCTATAGCAACAAATGCGCATGGCATTAGTCAAGCAACCCCATCTGGACGCCCCGTTCTGCCCGTGGGCCCCACGCGTCAGTCAGCCCTCCAACTGGAACACGCGGTTCCGCCGAACTCTGCCGGAATATCGCGCTCATGACCTCAACAGTTTAACATATTGCAGACAGATCCCTCGCAGGTCACACCAGTACATAGCCGCTCTTCCACTTGCCCCCCTCCTCGTCCTCCTCGCCGCGGCCACTCCGCCACCACGCTGCCTCGCCGCCCTCCCTCGCCAATGCCGACCCGCCTCCTCCTCGCCGCCGCCGCGAAGCTCTGACGGAGACCCGGAGGCGCCGCCGCCGCGTGCCCCGCGCCGTAGCCTCTGTGCCGCCGCCGAGCGCCGTCACGAGCTCTCCGATTGCGCGTCGAGGTAACCGCCGCCGCCGCCTCTCCCTGCCATCGCTGTTCAAGGCTCTCTACGACGTATACTAACTATTATCTTCCGTCGGTATTCTCTGATCCGTCGCGATATCTTGCGGATTCTGCAGATTTCTGCAACCGCTTTACGGTTCTTGGTTCCGTGGAAGGGGGGAGAATCCGGCGCCATGGGGAGCGAGCCCAAGGAGATGAAGTACAGGCGGAGGGCGAGGGCGCCCGAGCCGGGGGACTACGGGCAATGCGGCGGCGCCGACCGGGGCGGCGCGGTGGACTGGGCCGCGCTCAAGCAGCAGGACCCGGCGGAGCTGCTCCGGAAGCTGGACGAGATACGGGACCAGATCACCCGGTCCTGCGAGGCCGCGGGGCCGCGGGGAGCGGAGCCGCCGCAGCACCGCATGGGCCGGGGCGCCGTCTCCATGCGCCACTCGCACGCCGACCCTCTGCCGCCCCCGCCGGGCCGTGGTGCGCCGCCGGAGTACTACCGCTCCTCGCGCCACGCCGGCCGGTACGGACAAGGCGGGCCGCTGAGCTCGTACGACCAGCGGTCCGTGTGCGATGACAGGTACGCGAGGCAGCCCAGCGGGAGGTTCCGGCAGCCGCGCCCGGAGGGGCAGTGGGAGGGCTACGGGTACGGCGGCCACCACAGCTCGTGCCAGTGCGCACAGTGCGTGCACGCCCAGCGGGCCATGCCGCCGCAGGAGGAGAGCATTCCGATGGCGAGGTTCTTCGCGGGGCAGCAGAGGCCGCCGTACCAGTTCGACAGGTCCGCCTCGTCGATATCGTCAGAGTATGACCGGCGGTCGGTGGCTTCGTCGCTCTACTCGCACCTTTCGATGTCCAAGAGAAGGGTGGAGTACTTCAGCAAGAGGGCAGATAGCTTCTGCCGGCCGACGAAGGGCGGCGCGCCGTTCGTCGTCTGCAGCTCCTGTAACCAGCTTCTTCAGCTACCTCCTGGGAAATGCACATCACCGAAGCAGAATCGGGTTCAGTGTGGCTCCTGCTCAGAGGTTGTTACTTTCGATTTCAAGCCTAAAGGAGTGAAAGTTCATCCGGTGATCCCATCATCATCTTTTAGTGTGCCAAAAAGTGTGAGAAGCTCCGATCGCCGGGCTCCTCAAAATTCTGGGTGGTATCCATATGAGGATGATGACACTTCCAGTTTCGGTAGCTATCGACAGAAGCAGAATTTTTCCGACAATCTGTCGCAGTCTTCCACAGGAAGCTATGGCAGCAGCACAAACAAAGAGCGCGGGCCAAACAAGATCAGTCAGGTAAAATCTGTTTCTGTCAGCAAGTCTAGATTTGCAGATAGCCCAAAAGATATATTATGTCAAGGAGATGCAGACAGTCAGGTCGAAGCTTCAGTTGTTCGCACAATCAGTCCACAAGCCCCAATTTTAGAGGATAAACTTGTTGATCCCTTTTCCAGCCAGCAAAATGATTGCAGTGGTGGGGATCAAATCAAGAGCAAGAGGTATGGCTTAAATAGCAAAGGAAACTTTGATGTTCGAGGTGAGAGGATTGATGTGAAATGTGAACAAAAGAGCAATGGAAGTCGGAAGGATGGATTTAGTGGAGAAACCGCGAAGAAAACATATGGACAGAAATATCTCAAACAACTTAATGCTAGTTGTCCTGATGGTCACATTGGTAACAAGAACCCGCGGAAGGCCAATAGTGATGATAGCAGGAGCAGCAGCCTCGAAGATGAAGCTACAAGCAAAAGGTATGAAGGAAAGAGCAAACAAGATGACAACAACTTTGAAGTTCAAGGCGTTAATAAGAGATACGACAACTGCATCAAGGAAGGTTATAACAATGAGTTTGGATTCGATAGCATAACTAAGACATGTGATGAAGAGAGCATAGAAGATGATTGTGCTAAATCACTGTCCTCAAACGGTGAAAATGCCAAGAGAGTGGGCAAAAATGAGTCATCGGTCAGTGAGCGAACAAATACTAGTTCTCATGTTTCTTCTGATGCTGGGCTAGATGAAATTCAATCTTCAGCTGGTAAGAGTGGGGATTCATCATTTTTTGGTGGTTTCTTAAAGAAAGGTTTGAAGGATCTTTCTTTATTCAACCAGTCTATGGACAGTGTCAAGGTTTCCATCAACGGTCATCCAATCTCTGAGCGTGCTCTTCGTAAGGCGGAGAAAAAAGCTGGTCCTGTTAGCCCTGGTTCATATTGGTAAGTCATTTCCTCTAATTGGAATTCAGAACGTGTGCTGTATTTGCAGCATATGCTGTATATCCTGTTGCCTTAGTTCATCGTTTACTCTAGCATCATCTGCCCAGAACACACACTTTTCTTACCTAAGGGTGCTGCCAGAATCAAGAGACAAATAAATTGATCTGTATTCTCCTTCTGAATAAATCTGGTTTAGCGGTGAGAATCATGATGAAGTATACTGACCCACTGTTATAAAATGATCATGCCTGATTCCACTGCATAACTATGTAATCTTGCCTTTCATAATCTAAAGAAAGAAGGAATGCTTTGCTTTTTTAGCCAAATTGGCCACTTCATCTTGAAATGATCACTTGGCTAGTTTGTACATTCTTTCATAGACTTTATAGATTCTGGTTCATCAATGATTTGTGTTCTTTAGTGATTGCTCCAGTAAATGCTACTAGCTCAAAATTAGACACCATATGACTTTCATGCCTGTCTGCCTTTAACCAGACGCAACGATCTGATTTGTATACTGAAAAGTCAGATACAAATTCATGATAAAATAGTTTGTACAATGTTACCATGTAGCTATTTTATAAATTATAACTTGTTGCAATTCCGTTAGATCTTCAGCACGTTTACAGTTACATTTAATTCACAGGCATTGGAAACATCTTTAAAGCAAGGTAACATAGTGTTTTCTGTCTTTGGTAATTCAGGTATGACCAACGTGCTGGATTTTGGGGTGTCATGGGGCACGAGTGTAGCGGCATTATCCCTGTAAGCTGAGTCTTTTCCATGGGATGCTTTCCCTAGAACTGCATGTATGCAAGACATAACCTTGACCGGTCTCTCATTTTGCAGCCATTTATAAAAGAATTCAGTTATTCAATGCCCAAGAATTGTGCTGGTGGGACTACTGGAGTGCTTGTAAATGGAAGAGAACTTCATCAGAAAGATTTCGATTTGCTTGTAAAGAGAGGCCTTCAACGTTTCTCTGAAAAATCATATACCGTTGATATCTCAGGAACTGTGACTGATGCTACAACTGGCGACAAATTACGCAGCCTTGGAAAGCTTGCTCCTACGTAAGTTCTCCTTTACAGACTGCATTTCCTCCAGAAGAGTGGGCTATATCTATATGTATGTTTTTGCTATCCTCGTATAAAAGGAAACTTCAACTCATTTTGAAGTCAACACTGGTGCAACATTGTGCCCAAGTAGTTTTTGGTTTCTACATACCTAAACTCTTCGGTAAAATTTCCCTGGCATTAGTAATTTGTATTTGACAAATCATCTAATGGCTTAATCAATTACCCCCCTGTGATTCACTACTCGAGATGGATTGCCTAATAGCAGGGGACTGCCTGTAATAGGCCAAAGTCAGTGTTGTCTCATGCCTTCTTTGACCATTTTTTGCTGTGGTTATTTTAAACCTTTTGCTCAATTGTTGTTTGTTTTCTACACGAAAGAAATTACTGATATCATGTGAACTTGTGCAAGGTTGTCACTTTGGTCGTCATACGGAAACGTGCAAGCATTATGTTAGAACTTTTTATTGATTTTAGCCACAACTTGTCTCAACTCTGAGTACCATGTATTTAACCTCTTAAAATTCTATCTTGATCAGCAAATTGTCTTTATCAATTTCCTCTAAACCATGTTTTTTTGGTCATACACTAACGATTTCAATTTTCAAATGCCAGAATCGAGAAGATGAAACGCGGTTTTGGCATGCACGTCCCTGAAGAGATAAGTTAGCACTCTATGACAGTCTATGATGATGTCTCCTTCATTTCCTACCCCCACCCTACCCCACCAGAAAGCTGCATTTGCGAGCTAAATCTTTGGACTCTGCTATGGAAGAGAGCCTTCTAGACCATACTACTTCTTGTGGCCTGGCTGTGCGGCAGCATCAATAATACTCCCAGGAAAGGAAAACCTATTTCCACACACTCCATTCGTTTACTTGAGATATATCTCGTGATGGTATATTCGGGCAGAGGTGTAGCTCCAAGTTCCTCCTGTTGTGTTGTTTCTCGTCCCCATCTACTGCATATGTTCTTGAAGCAGTTCTCCCTCGGCATTAGGAAGGCATTGGAATGTACCAGTATATGTCTTTTGTGGGGTTGTAATACACTGGTAGAATATTTCTACCTGTAGAACCAACTGTAAATATCTATCTCTCCTATGCCACCTCTGCTGGGGTGGCTGGTGTGTGCTTTCTGAAATGCAAATCCTGGTTTGTACACCTGTCTTGTGTCCGAGAATCACAATTATCTGTCAGTTTGGAACATGGTTGGAAATTGGAGTGCTATAGTAACATGGTGTACATACATACTGCTGCAACTCTGTTTTTTGTACTGCTGTTCTTCTTGTCTGAAGAGCAGGAGCCGCCAAATCCTTTCCGTTCTCCCGGTCAATGTTGCCGGCACATGGGAAAGGGTGGAAGCTGAAGTGAATACAACCTGCATGTTTGAATCATCTGAGTCAGCATATCTTTTTGTTTTAATCCGAGTCAAGCTGACACGTCATGCGGAAATTGGATCTTGCTATACAGTCAGAGATGATCAGTCCGATCTTCAGTTGTCTTGCTTACCGGGCTGCTGACATTTTATCGCCGCGCGCTTTTCTTCTTCTTCTTCGAGGATACTGATGTTTATTCACCGGAGAGGAAACACAACGTATGCCTGGGAAGCGTTCGTTCGAACAACACTCCACGGACTTTTGCTCCAGCTGATATCTAGGACTCGGTCAGCCTCTCAACTGCCCTATCTGTCAGGACGTAGTCCAACTTTGACCGAGTTGCAATGGGCCAATGACCAGACTACATGGATGAAAACTGTTTGTTTTATCTTCTTTTCAACAATTGAGTGGGACTAGTGTTGTTATACTATGATTCATTCATCTTTGAAAATGCCTATCTTCATAGTAATTTATATACTATTTGACTTCCAGTCAGGCCGGTGGTAGCCGCCGGCGCCCGCTTCTCCATGTTATATATCCCCTTCGTCTTAAAATAAGTGTCTTTTAACTTTCGAAATTGCTTTACACACGACATTGTCCGCACGATCCACGAACGGTGCAGCCTCCCCAGCGGTGCTTCCTGCATGCACACTCGCTGTTGACGCTGCCAAGTAGGGTCGCGCAGGCATCGGCCGTAAATGTATTGTTTGTATAGCAGCGCTGCTCAACCTCAGTTTAAAGTTGTACTCAACTCGAGACACTTATTTTAAGACGGAGGAAGTACGTATGTGATCCAGTCAGCATTTTTACCTCGATCCAAGCGTCTCTACTTGCTCGGCTATGACCCTACGAGAGTAATCTTAAATTTGAGTTTTGAATCATGTATGTAGTACGAGTGAGTACTGACAGTCCCCACTCGCTACCATTGCTTGACTGAGCTACCTTCATCGTTGGTCGGTCTCTATTACAAAGTTGAAACACTTATTTTAGGACGGAGAAAGTATGTAGCTAAGCATGCATGGTGACCCCATGACGAACCAACATCCATCAACCCGGCCATGAAGCTAAAGGAAGTTCCCAAGGAGCAACCATGGTCGTCGCCGCATTGTCCTGGTCCTCCTCCGCTGCCGGGGCCATGGCAAATGAAGCAGTGACCCACCGTAGGACCAACATCTATCAACCCAGCCGCGGAGCTAAAGGAAGCTCCCAAGGAGCAACCATGGTCGTGGCCGCGCTTTCCTGGTCCTGCTTCTCCACCGCCAGGGCCATGGCAAATGAAGCAACGACCCATCGCCGTGCGCCTAGTGTCCACGAGGGCAAAAAGGCGGTGGGGGACGCGGGGGCGGCATTCGTGCCGAAGTCCAAGGGCATGGTGGCACGCAGGGTTCCACCTCACCACGGCCATGGTGGGCCTGACGGTGCTCACGCTGCCATACGCGCTCCGCGGCATGGGGCCGGTGGGCGCTCGGGCTCGCAGAGCTCACCACCGTCACCTTCTACACCTACTCCGTGTGTTTTGATTTTTGGCTGAAAAACGGATTTCAGCCGAATTTCGGCCATCTCAGCCTAGGGTGGAAAGTACCTTTCGGCAAAAAAAAGATTTTACTCAAATTTCAGCCAATTTTTTTTTTTAAATGGCCGAAATTCGGCCTTCTTGTTCTGGGACGAAAAAATATCACAAACCAAAAACCAAAACTCTGATATACACACACATTTGGACATATTCTAGATTTTTTTACTATATTTTTGTCTGTTTTAACAAATTCAATATAAAAAACCTAACTTTTTCTATTATATCTACATATTAATCTGTATCCCTCAGTACCGTAATATTTTTGAATATTATGAATTAGCGAAATTTACATGCTCTCTCCTTCCATTCGCCATGAGCTGGATAATGCTCGACCACTGCGAGGCCGCCGGCCGCGGCCACATGGAACGAAATTGCTCATATCATATGATTTTCTGCATGATCGTCACTTTGGCCGTCGCACGGAAACGTGCAAGTATTATGTTAGAACTTTATATTGCCTTTAGCCGCCACTTGTCTCAACTCCGAATGTGGATTTTTGGTCAGACACTAACCAGTTGGATTTTCAAATACCAGAATTGAGAAGATGAAACGCTTTTAATTTTTCTTTTACAGAGGAAGTACTACTCAGAATATATCTTTGTGGAGTTGTAATACACCAGTACTTCCTCCGTCCTATAATGTAAGACATTTTTTGACACTATATTATAAGACGTTTTTTGACACTAGTAGTAGTGTCAAAAAACGTCTTATAATATGGGACGCATGGAGTAGAATGTTTCTACCTTGTAACCAATTGTAAATATCAACTCCTGTACTACCTTCATGCCGGGTGGCTGATGTGTGTGCTCTTTGAAATGCAACCCTGGTTTGTGCAATACACCTGTACTGCCTGTACAATTTTTCCTCGGCATTGAAACGTACGATATCTTTGTGGGATTGTAGTACACTGGTAGAATCTGTTTCTCCTGAACCACCTGAACCACCTGCTCTTAGGGGTGGTTGATGTGTGCTCTGTGAATTGCAAATATTTGTTTCTCCTGAACCACCTGCTCTTAGGGGTGGTTGATGTGTGCTATGTGAACTGCAATCATGGTCTCTGCAATGCACTTGTACGACACCGACCGTGCGCTACCGTCAGTAGGAGCGCACAATGGGTGCAAGGGGGGAACGCGTACCATCTGGATGTCCCTTGGCATCGACGGGGGCGAGGCGTGTCCGTCGGTGGCCTCCATGTCGTGGACCGCCTCTTGTCGGGGCCGACACAACCAGCAGGACATGATCGATTCGACCACCAAGACTCCGCCGACCGCGAACACTGTCGCCTTTCGCAGAGTGGAGGCATGCCAGTTCGCAATCGCTGAAACCAGGTTCCCCATCTCTGCAAGGAGATAAGAAAATAGAGAGCCGTATCAAATGGAGAACGGAAGGGTAATTGTTGTAAAATGGAGGACACGTTGTCGGTGACTTACCTTGCCTTGGTGCTGGCTTTGCCTCTGCGAGCGGGGGGAGAGCGCCGACAGCAGGCTCGTGCTACCTCTGCGAGCGGGGGGAGGTGCGGAATGTCAGAATGGTGCGGAGAGCGGGAGAGGTGGGTGTAATATGGGTTCGAAGAGGGAGAAGAGATTACAAGACCACTTACCATTTGTGTTAAATCGGTGGGCCGTTGAATGAATGTATCTCCCATTGACGTGTCAACCCATGGACGGCACGCTGAACCGCCCTTTCCCGATCTATTCACCTTCAGACTATGTCGTCTTCCCCTAAAAAGAGGATGGGCTTTCTCGGATGTAGCCATGCAGGCCTAGTACGTGATCAGGAACCCCTAGTGGGCTGACAGGATGGGCTTTATTTCTTATATATGGGCTTTGGAGAAAGGAGTGGGGGCAAAGGCCATGGACTGAGTGGGGGCGCTGCATTATATTGCAGGCCTAGTACGAGTGGGCTTCAAAATCGAGTGGGGGCATCTGCCCCCACGGTCCTTCACGTGGATTCGCCCTTGCCTGTACCACCCATTCTTCAAATAACAAAAAATCTAGCTGAGATGGAGGCATTGGCAACTTCCTTTTACGAGGACCTATACACCTTGGAGGGGGTCACTAATATGAGGGAGGTCCTTGATACTGTTTCGTGCAAAATCACTCAGGCCATGAACGACACACTGAATGCCCCGTACAGTCGAGATGAAGTCAAGATCGCACTAGTCCAAATGTTCCCTATCAAAGCTCCAGGCCCTGACGGATACCCAACACATTTTTTCAGCGCCATTGGGAAGTATGTGGCGATGATGTTACAAAGGTGGTACTAAAAATAGTGGAGGGCACCGAGTCAGCGGAATGCATCAATGAAACGGTGCTGGTATTGATCCCCAAGGTAAAAAACTATTGTCCCATTAGCGGCCGCAGTGTGCTTAGATACAATGGGCTGGCAGCTGAGGCTTGGCAGGATGGGGGAGTTAATTAAGGTCGAGGGAGCAGGAAAGAGTTTGTTATTCGCTATTGGCTTAGTACGGCCTATACATAATAGGGCCATGACGGTTTTGGCAAGGCCTTGAACTTCATATATCCCTTTTTTACTCAATCCAGAATACCGAGAAAGTCATATTGAATCATTTTGTCGACCTTTCCTTTGGATTTATTATCATAGGTAGTGTTCGAGATCGCCTCTGTGCGGTGAACGCTCGAATGTAGCTAACATCAGTTTTGTCCTCGCGTGGTTGAAGGAGATGCTGCTGCTGGATGGAATGCTTCCGGGGCGCCATGAT